GATGCAATGAAGCAACATCTGCACAAAGTTCATACTGTCACGGAGTTGTCTGTGTGTGTTTGCATGCACATGTGTGTATGTGTCTGTATGTATGTGTGCGGGTCCCATGTATCGTGTTTAAATCTAGCAGTTATAAATCTCAACGGCATTTTCCATGAAAATTGTCAGTGTATTTAAGCTCTGGTATTGCTGAAACGTGACCATACGTCGGTGTGAATCCTCACCTCCGAGAAGCGGGCATTTTTCAATGTAAAACGTAGAAAAAGACTATCTACAAAAGACCTAACTTCCCTACGCCACTCTTATTATACTTTGTGCCTTACTGGCCCAAACGAAAGTAATGCAGCGAAGAAATAAAAATATTTATTAATAATAAAGTGAACCTTGTAAAGTTTATTGGGCTGCAACTCATGAAGGAATTCACGACAACGATTCTGTGACATCCAAAATACCGGGTTATCCAACTGTATTGAGAATCGCGCCAACAATTTATCCAAATCAGCTTTTTTGTGGCTCACAACTTGTTCTGCAAAAAAAAAAACATTGATAAATGCTCTAATTCTTATTGTTTTCTATAGTTCTAACACTGCTGCCTGTGCCGCTAAGGGCGGGGGGAGCGGGAGGAGCAAAGAACCATCGCCCCCCCCCCCACCACACTGGATCCGCCTGTGACCTCTCTGCAATTTATTCATTCATTCGTTTCAAAGGAAAAATGGTACTGGTGCAGCATCAGCTTGTCCCTAATCAACTCCGAAAGGGGAAGCCATCGTCAGTTCTATCAGTGCTGCTGGTACTTCTTACCATTCGGATTACTTGAGAGCGCCTAACCTTCACAGCGAGGGAAACTTTATGCATCGGTGGTGTTCTTAACGAGGAACAACAGGCTGGGATAAAAAACGATGTAGAGAGTCCAGACAAACTTTACGAATCGCATATTTGAATTGAACAAAATAATTTTAAAACACCAAAATTTTACGCCAAAAAAATCAAAATATTGGTTCAGACCAAAGAGGACAAAAAATAAATTAAGAAGTTGAAATGATTGGCAAAATACTCTTCTTAAAG